ACTTGGACAGATGACTAGGGAGGAATATAAAAAATATTGCTCGAGCATGTAGGGTGTAATCAGGAAGGCCAAAGCACAATTGGAGTTGCAGCTAGCAAGGGATGTGAAGGGTAACAAGAAGGGTTTCTACAGGTATGTTAGCAACAAGAAGGTCAGGAGAGTGTGGGACCCTTACTGAATGGGAGAGGCAACCTAGTGACAGATGATGTGGAAAAAGCTGAAGTACTCAGTGCTTTTTTTGCTTTGGTCTTCACAGACAAGGTCAGCTCCCAGACTGCTGCACTGGGCAGCACAGTGTGGGGAGGAGGTGAGCAGCCCTCAGTGGTGAAAGAACAGGTTAAGGACTATTTAGAAAAGCTGGACATGCACAAGTCCATGGTTTCGGATCTAATGTGTCCAAGGGTGCTGAGGGAGTTGGCTGATGTGATTGCAGAGCCATTGGCCATTATCTTTGAAAACTTGTGGCGATCAGTGAATGTCCCGGACAATTGGAAAAAGGCAAATATAGTATCCATCTTTAAAAAAGGGAAGAAGGAGAATCCAGGGAACTACAGACAGGTCAGCCTCACCTCAGTCCCTAGAAAAATCATGGAGAAGGTTCTCAAGGAATCCATTTTGAAGCACTTGGAGGAGATGAAGGTGATCAGGAACAATCAACATGGATTCATCAAGGGCAAGTCATGCCTGACCAACCTGATTGCCTTCTATGATGAGATAACTGGCTCTGTGGCTATGGGGAAAGCGATGGACGTGATATATCTTGACTTCAGCAAAGCTTTTGATACGGTCTCCCACAGTATTCTTGCCAGCAAGTTAAAAAAGTATGGATTGGATGAATGGACTATAAGGTGGATAGAAAGCTGGCTAGATCGTCAGGCTCAACAGGTAGTGATCAACGGCTCGATGTCTAGTTGGCAGCTGGTATCAAGTGGAGTGTCCCGGGGGGGGGGGGGGGGGCGGTCCTGGGGCCAGTTTTGTTCAACATCTTCATTAGTGACCTGGATGATGGGATAGGGTCCAGAGTGACCTAGACAAATTGAAGAATTGGGCCAAAAGAAATCTGATGAGGTTCAACAAGGCCAAGTGCAGAATCCTGCACTTAGGATGGAAGAATCCCATGCACTGCTACAGGCTGGGGACTGACTGGCTAAGCGGCAGTTCTGCAGAAAAGGACCTGGCAGTGGATGAGAAGCTGGATATGAGGCAACAGTGTGCCCTTGTTGCCAAGAAGGCTAACTACATACTGGGCTGCATTAGTAGGAGCATTGCCAGCAGATCAAGGGAAGTGATTATTCCCCTCTATTCGGCTCTGGTGAGGCCACATATGGAGTATTATGTCCAGTTTTGGGCCCCCCACTACAGAAAGGATGTGGACAAATTGGAGAGAGTCCAGTGGAAGGCAATGAAAATGATTAGGGGGCTGGGGCAAATAACTTATGAGGTGAGGCTGAGGGAACTGGGTTTATTTAGTCTGCAGAAGAGACGAGTGAAGGAGGATTTGATAGCAGCCTTCAACTACCTGAAGTGGGGTTCTAAAGAGGATGGAATTAGGCTGTTCAGAGTGGTGGCAGATGACAGAACAAAGAGCAATGGTCTCAAGTTGCAGTTGGGGAGGTCTAGGTTGGATATTAGGAAAAACTATTTCACTAGGAGGGTGGTGAAGCACTTGAATGGGTTACATAGGGAGATGGTGGAATCTCCATCCATAGAGGTTTTTAAGGCCCGGCTTGACAAAGCCCTGGCTGGGATGATTTAGTTGGGGTTGGTCCTGCTTTGAACAGGGGGGTGGATTAGATGACCTCATGAGGTCTCTTCCAACTCTAATCTTCTGTGATTCTGTATCAACTGTCAGGGACTAGCACGTTCCCCATCTTTATGTACTGAAGCAATAAAACTCTGGAATTGGTGCATAACCAACCACATAGTCATCTCGGCTTCTTAGTACCTAGGTATTCAAAACACCATGGCAGACCATCTCAGCAGACATTTCTTTCTAAATTATGAATGGGAACTGAACTGCAGAGTCCTCTTCACATGATATTCTCAGGTTGGTGATTCTCGTAGGTCAGTGGTGGGCAACCTGCAGCCCGCAGGCGGCCCATCAGCGTAATCTGATTGCAGGCCGTTAGACATTTTGCTGACGTAGACCATCCGCAGGCACGGCCCCCCACAGCTCCCACTGGGACAGTCAACATCAGCAAAATCTCTAGCGGCCCGCAATCAGATTACCCTGGGGGGCCGGCCGCAGGTTGCCCACCACTGTCATAGATTGATCTGTTTGCCACAGCTGCCAACACAAAATGCATCACCTATTGCTCCAGACGGGGGTCTCAAACCTCTATCTCTAGGAGACCCATTTCTCAACTTTTTTCTGTAAATATCCACCAACACTGTTATTGAAGGTTCTCAACAAGATCAAACAAAACTGGGCCAATGTCATACTAATTGCACCAATGTGGCCAAGAAAAGTCTGATATCCCTATTGCATCAGACTCGCCTTTCACCCTACATGGAAGCTTCCAATCAGTCCTTTACCTGCTGACTCAAGATGCAGGTCAAACACTTCACTCCAATTTACAGATTTTTGGTGCCAAGCATAGTTCCTCAATGGTTCTCTGGGATAGAGAGAGATTGTTCCTCGGAGCTACAAGTTTTATTAAATAGTAGAAAACCATCTACAAGTAATACTTACCTCCAGAAATGGAAACGATATAATCTTTGGTGTAACGGTCATCAGATTTCGCCAACTTGTTCTTCTTTTCCTATAGTACTGAATTATCTGTTGGAGCTGAAGATGTCTTTTTATAAATTCTGTTAAGGTTCACTTAACAGCAGTAACAGCCTTTCACAAATCTGGGGGAGAGGGGGCTGGGTTCTCTCTTCACTCACCTCTACAGCAAGATTCCTGCAAGGTTTGTCAAATATCTCCCCACAAATCAGAGACTCTTCTCCTAGCTGGGACCAGAACCTGTCCTCAGTGGCTTTATGAAGCATCTGTTTGAACCACTAGCTGGGTGTTCATTATTAGATTATCTTTGAAAACAACCTTTCTGGTAGCGATCACTTTTGCCTGAAGGGTAGGAGAATTGGTTTATAGTATTTTTCCAAAGAGGAAGGGTTGTTATGGGCCTATCTAAGATTCTTATCTCAAGTGTCCTCGAAATTCCCCATTAATCAAAGCATTCATCTTCTGGCTTTCTTCCCAAAACCACTTCGGACTAGTGAAGAAGCCATATTCCATACTCTAGATGTGAGATGGGCATTAGCCTTCTACCTAGACAGGAGCAAACCATTTAGAAAATCTCCTAGACTATTTCTATCCATTGCGGAGAGAAACAAGATCGGTAATTTTGAAACAGTGGTTGTCTATGTGAATCTCAGGTTGTATTAAGATTTGTTTCGACAGAGCTCATGTCCAACTCCCTTCAAGAGTAATAGCACATTCTACAAGAGCATTATCTACATCCTTCCTTAAGGATGTACCAGTTGTAGACATCTGTAGAGCAGCAACTTGGTCCTCTGTTAATACCTTTTCTAATCATTACACCCTGGTACCTGTGGCAAGATCAAATGCAGCTGTGGGCAATGCAGTTCTCTCTTCTGTATTGGACTGTGCTTCAAACCTTCCACCTCTTTATGGGGATACTGCTTAGAAGTCACCTGAAGTGGAGCACCCACAGAGCCGCTATTCAAAGAAAGAAAGGGTGCTCCGCGACGTGCCCTCCTTCCCCTTTGCTTCAGAGTTGCCTTAAGGGATTCTCTGGTGGAGAAGGACCTGCGGGTGGTTTGCCTGCACAGCTCCATAAAACCTCGGTGTGGGGCATGAGAATGTGTGGGGTGCATGCACGGGCCAAATGGGCACTGCTGTAAAAATCCTCTGATCAAAGATGCAGGGCGCAGGGGCACTTGAAATGTAACATCCACAGAGAGACACTCAAAGAACTCCAGTTACTGTGCAAAGTGAAAAGAATGAGGAGTACTTGTGGCACCTTAGAGACCAACAAATTTACTTGGGCATAAGCTTTCATGGGCTAAAACCCACTTCATCAGATGCATGCAGTGGAAAATACAGTAGGAAGATTATATATATATATAATCACACAGACAATATGAAAAAATGGGGGTTGCAATACCAACTCTAACGAGACTAATCAATTAAGGTGGGCTATTATCAGCAGGAGAAAAAAAAACTTTTGTAGTGATAATCAGGATGGCCCATTTCAAACAGTTGACAAGAAGGTGTGAGTAACAGTAGGGGGGAAATTAGCATGGGGAAATAGTTTTTAGTTTGTGTAATGACCCATCCACTCCCAGTGTTTATTCAAGCCTAATTTAATGGTGTCCAGTTTGCAAATTAATTCCAGTTCTGCGGTTTCTCGTTGGAGTCTGTTTTTGAAAATAAATATAAAGTGAGCACTGTCCACTTTGTATTCTGTATTGTAATTGAAATCAATATATATGAAAATGAAGAAAACATCCAAAAATATTTAAATAAATAGTATTCTATTATTGTTTAACAGCGCAATTAATTACAATTAATTTTTTTAATCATGCGATTAATTGCGATTATTTTTTTTAATTGCTTGACAGCCCTACTTATTAGGAGTTTACTATGAGCATAGTAATTGCTTTATTGATCATACTTTGATTCAGTATTTTTATTTTTTACAATGAAGGGCATTCTTGTTGAGGGGTTCGTTCTGTGGCTTATGGCAAATTCTCTAATCATTTCTACAGCCCTAAAATTTCAGCAAATGCAAGGTTCTAAATGTGGCCTGAACTTGAAGGGCTAGTCTTTGGTTTGTTTTTCTAGAATGTTTGTTTAATTTTCATTAATTTAGAGGAACTGTGGGAATTTGGGTTGAATGTAAAATTTATTTTTAAAATATGTCTTAAATATTCATAATTTAAGATCACATTTTTCTCTTAAATCACTTCAATTTTCTTTTCAAATGTTTTTTAATTTAAAATGTGTTACAAAATGTTTCCATTTCTTTAAGGAATCAAAAGATGAACAGTGGAAACGAGCTATGGACTATCTCAATATTGTCAGTGAACTCAATTACATGACCCAGATTGTTATCATGCTCTACGAGGATCCAAACAAGGTAAGTAAATAAAATTGATAAATATCTAGAAATATGATTAGTTCAAACCGTGTTTTAAAGAGCAGATATTCACTGTCTTTAGGAACTTTCTTCAGAAGAACGTTTTCATGTGGAGCTTCACTTTAGTCCGGGAGCTAAAGGCTGTGAAGAGGATAAAAACTTACCAGCTGGTTTTGGATATAGACCTGCCTCCCGAGAGGTAATACTTCTGGCATACTTTAGAACAAAAGTTCAAGGATTCTCTGTTCATGAATATGTTCCAATAACTTTTGTTTTAATCACTGGAGAATTAGTTAGAAAGAATGACTCTTGGTTTTGAATTAACTGTGTGTGTACTGTGTGCATATAAAAATAAACTAGTGTACTATGAGTAACAGTTATACGTCATAATTCAGGCCCTCTGATTCAAATAGATACTTTCTTCAATAAAAGGTATACTCGCCTCATTTGTTCCTTTACTGCCTTTGTAATTGCAACCTTTTATGGCTTTGCATAATTTGTTGTTGGAGATAGTCCTGTTTCTCCAATATTCTGACAAATGCACAAGATGACATTTAAGAAAAAATATGAATTTGAATTTTAGGGAATATTGACTATTGATGATATTTTTCAGTTTGTATATGTGTACATCTATATAGTTAAACAATTTGGTGTTACACATGTTAAGACACTGTGGGTGAAATTTTGCCCCCATTGAAGTCAGTGGGAGTTTTGCCATTGACTTAAATGGAACCAGGATTTTATCCTTTACATATTCAGTGAAACTTATAAGAAGACATGGTGGTGTGAGCAATGATATTATGGTCACATTGTCACATGTGGTAGAAGAGAGTTAAAGTAGCAAATGCTTTTTCTAGGTGTATAAAAAACAGTATTTTTATGGTTTAAGAACCTTGTGTCACTAAACTTCATGCATATCATTAACACTTTACTACGTATAGAATAATTTAAGCATTTTTTGTAACTGATCTACTTAATGGATTTCCATGTCCATATAGTACAAAGTATGTAGCTAACTTGAATAGGTAATACCTTTACTTGTAGAATGAAGGCTCAAAGAAAACCTCCCATAAAAATGATAGTGATGAGGAGTCACATACTTCTAAAAGGGATGAAACGGATCGATCAATAGTGGTATTCAAGCCAATGGTGTCAGACCCAATTCACATACACAGAAAGTCGCCCCTTCCAAGATCCCGGAAGATTGGTTCTGTTGAAGTAAGTGTTTCTGTCACGGTGCATGTCTACTGAAATGAATTCTTCATTTACTTCTAACAAAAAAGTAGAGACTATTCTGTTTTTGATTACACAAAAATAGAATGGTGTCATTCTTCTCAAAGTACTGCTTTTATTCCATGGGAAATTCTCCATGGCAATGGTTGTCTGAAAGGAATTTCAGAAACATCATATTGTTTGGCCATATAAATTCTTTTTCTTTCCTTTAGTATTTTAAATCTTATTATATAACTCTTATTCTATGAAAATGAAGATACACATTTTTTAGTCTCAACTCCTTCTTCTCCAAGCTGACTAACATGCATTGCTTGCATATGCATTCTCACAAGACTGCTGCTAATGGAAACAAAACATTGAATTTTTTCATTTGTGGGGATTGGGGTGGGGGAAGGAGAGGTAGCTGTAAGAAAATTTCGCCATCTACAATTAACTTTCATAGGGAGCAACTGATTCCAGTGGCACAGTGGTTGAAGGTAAGAGAGCAAATTGGCAGCATGCTTTGAGGGGCGGGGAATGTGTGTTTTCCAGAGTCTTCAGATAAGTGCCCTAAGACTTTTTGGGTGCCCAGTGTAGAGGCCATGACACCAAGGAGTTGAGAAACTGTCATAAAAGGTGCTCTAACATCACAATAGTGAAGCAAGTCCGTGATGATTCACTGTATGCCATTAATATGGTTGAACAGTAAAGACACTGTTGGTGCACACTAGTACCTTAGTGACACTGAGGGTAGGTCTAAACTTAAAATACCACAGTGGCATAGCTGCACAGGTGTAGCTGCACTGCTGTAGCACTTCAGTGAAGACGCTACTACACTGAGGGGAGAGCTACTCCTGTTGGTGTAGTTAATCCACCCCTGCAAGAGGCAGTAGCTATGTCAATGGGAGAAGCTCTCCGGTTGACATAATGCCATTTACACCGGGGAGTAGATTGGTATAATTCCATTGCTCAGGGGTGTGGATTTTTCACACCTTTGAGCGACATAGTTACACTGATGTAAGTTTATACTGTAGACCTGGCCTGACACTAGAACATAAGATGTACAGTTTACTACCTTATTCTCAGTTGCTTAAAACCTCAAAGAACTGTGTACTCTTTTCCCTGCATGTTGTCTCAGGAATAGGTGCTTATATAGACTGGGTACCACAATAGTAAGAATTCCAAGTAACTTGGTTACTGTCAATGTGTGGAGAATAATACGGATGCTTTTGTTTTATTATGATCTGTATATAACATAAAAAAATTAAGAGGTGATACTTGTCAATGTATTGCAGGGTTGCATTTCCTGTTTTACCATAAGCAATGTTTGAGAGGAGTAATTTCAATGTTTTTGAAAGTGGCTTTCACTCTGATCATGCAAGCTCCCTTCCTAGAGAGAAGTTCACGTGCAGTTTTATAGTATTTCAAAATTTTAACCATTTTCATTTTTGTAAATTTTCAGAAGCTGCTTTCAAGAGGTATTATTGATATGCATTGCTAAACTTTGACTTTCAGCAGGTAAAACATTCAAGTAGAATCTGTTCCAGCATCCAGCTTTTATGGAAATTCTAAATTTTTACTTCCTATTGAATAATAGTCTTTGATTTTACTCATATAGCTGTGAAACTGTGCAAAAAAGGTAAATTGGAAGAGCTAATATATTTGGGTCTGCCACACTGAAATCTGCAAAACAGTCTTTGAAGAATTTTGACCAGTTGGTATCTTGAAAGTGTAGTTTGACTTCATCTTAAATTGCCTTAGAATTATTTCTTTAAAGATAACTCTTTCCACTCCAGTCCATTCATTTAAAGGGACACTGTCAGGTAGTTTAGGCTCAACCTAAAAGTCTTTTTATTTTTTTTTTTTTTTTATAATCTCTGGTAAAATAAAATTCAAACTTTAAATTTATCTGGATTATAGTCTTCAGCAGAGTCTAATACAAACTTGGCAGCACTGTACTAGTGATGGAGACCAGAAATGAAGTTGACTAGTCTTATTTCCTTGAGCTTACAATTAAATGGAAAAACTAAAGAATATAAATTGTGAGAAACAAATTTACATTTCTAAAAAGGTTCAGTGCTGTTTAATCTAGATCATGGGATCTCAAACTGGGGGGTCGGGACCCCTCAGGGGGTCATGAGGTTATTACATGGGGGGTTGCGAGCTGTCAACCTCCACCCCAAATCCCGCTTTTCCTCCAGCATTTATAATGGTGTTAAATATATTTAAAAGTGTTTTTAATTTATAAAGGGGGTCACACTCAGAGGCTTGCTATGTGAAAGGGGTCACCAGTACAAAAGTTTGAGAGCCACTGATCTAGATGGTATTAACACAGGTAGAAGAATAGGGCTTTTTTTAGCCTGACATTGTCCCTTGAAATCTCTTTCTACGCTTTGGCACCAGAAGTTCCTTAGTGCTTTAAGGTTAAGAAATCCTTCTTGCCGCCCCTGGGGAGTCAGTCATTTAATCTCCAGTCCCATTCCAAAATCTTCTGGCTCTTTGAAATAAGTGGTAGTACTTTAAATGCAAAATAAAAATCTATTAAATAATAGATAGAAAAGCTTACTATACTTTGAAGGGGGGAAAACTATTAAACAGTATGTTCAGAGTAACAAATGTGTTCTGTTACCAGTGTTTTTTAAAGCTGTGGACCAGTTACTGACTACCATTGTTCTTCTATCTTGCCATTGGTAAAATTTTAGTCTACCAGAAACTTGGTGAAAGTAGTGGATTAAAAGATGTAGTTTGAAATGTTAGTCATTCCTAATAACTGTTTAATAGTTTTAAAGCTGTATATAAAAGAGTGCAAACAAACTGTATTTTTTTTTTCTGATCACTGGCTCTGTGGAATCTAACTTTGCATGCTTTGCTGTTTTTTTGCCCCCTTTCTCACTTCCAGGAAGAGAGCCCCCTGAGTGTGTCTAGCCCAGAGTGTATTGGTACCTGGCTGCATTACACCAGTGGTGTGGGTACTGGGCGTCGAAGACGCAGATCAGGGGAACAAATCACTTCTTCCCCTGTCTCCCCTAAATCATTGGCTTTCACATCCAGTATTTTTGGCTCATGGCAACAGGTTTTTAAACTTTACTTCATTAAACATTATTATGCATTCCAAGCAGCAACCAGCTGTCTTTAAGGACATCTAATCCCTTGTTATGGATTACATTCCAAGTAAATTCTTACACTTGTCGTTAAAATGTACTTTTTAAAATACTAGTTACTTCCAAGAATGTTGGGGGAGGAAGGAGGAGAAAGCAAATGCATGTTTTTCACAGAATTTTCACTGAATGTATTAGATATTTCCACAATGAATTGGGGTTTTTTTTACAGGAATTGTAAACATTAACACTCTAGAAAAGGCAGAGACTCCTGTCTAATGAAACTGACTTCAGCTTTGGCTTAGTTGTCCTTTAAGACTTTAAAAACAGCATTGCTTAATTTGGTGGTAGGTAAATTGAAACTTTTTTTAAAAATAAATGACAGATGATGCTACTTAAAATAATTGATGTGGCGTCTGATATTACTATTCAAAACTTGTTTTGTATAGATCATATTTTCAGTGGCCTGGTATTAATTGAGCAGGAAACAAACTCTAGCACTAACCATTCTTGCCTTCACTCCTATATCTGGAGATATCTAATTAAAAAACCAAACACAGTACTTCATCCATTGGATTGTACAATATTTTGAAGCCTTTTTGTCTAAATATTTGGGAAAGAGCAGGACAAATGAGACATAGTCAAAATATCAATGAAGATCTAAAGATTGCTCATTTCAAAATATTGTCTGTATATAGGACAATGGATGGTGTTCTAACCATGCCCCTTTCTTTTCTAAGAGTTTCAGTAATTTCCATGATCTTTTTGGAAATTTAAGGAACTTGTATATAGTAAAAGAGTGCAGTAAAGGCGTCTGAAGGCTACGCTGATAGAGCCCGTGCATGGATCAGTGACTGTATGGTGACTTCAACAGCCTGTCTGTCTTTCCTTCCCTCTCCCATTCCCCTTTCAATACAGGAGCAGTTTAGGAGTGTGCATTTGGTAAAATAAAGTAAAATCTATCTCAACTGTCTGTGTTTTCATCTCTGTCTTGGTCTGTGTTCTTTTTAATTCTGAATGCTCGCTTTGCACCACCTCATTGCAAGGACTTCATATGTGAAATGGACTCCCTTCACCAGGGGATATTGCATGATCTTTCATATTTCTTTTATGTATTTCTACTAACATTTATCATACAGCTTATTAACACTTGTCGGTCTGGAGCAGGCCAATATATCAAGTTTAACGGATACTTCATGCTGTTATTCTATTTTTTCTTATTTTTCTGTTTTCCATATGCAGGTCCTCTCAGACAACAATAGTAACTTACGAACACCAAGAACTATACTGGAACAAAAGCAGAGTGGTTTAGGTATGTACATGCAATTGAAATTTTGTTTCAAGTAAGCAGACTTTCCAATGCCTTTTGTTTTGCACACAGATATATGATCTTGGATTTTTAAAACTCTTGTGTAAACAGTTCCAAATAGTATTTTGAATATAATAGTATCTACTAATTCATTGGGGCAGTATAACCCACCGAGTTCAGCAATATTTCAGCAGCAAAAGTTATTTTAATGGAAACTGGATCTTAGGGAACAGCAAAACAGTTGAGACTGTTCACTGATTCTTTACTCTAACCAAAGAAAGTACTCAGGGTTATTTTAAATTTTAAATTATGACTTACGTGTTAATATTTTTGTGGAATTCTTTGAAAGCAAAAGTCCCAGTATGCAAACTATTAAAAACACTTTTCCTCAAGCAAAAATAAGTGTCTTCTGCTGTGGTCAATTGAGACAACTGAAGAGATGCTAGTGCAGTGGTCCCCAACCTTTTCCGTGGGGCGAGCGCCGGACGACTAGCCACCGAGGACTGTGGCTGCCGGACAAGCAGCCACCAAAATGCCGCCATGAAGCGGCAACGTCAAGAGGCGTCGCCGCCGAAATTCGTGAAGCGGCAACGTCAAGAGGCATCATCGAGAGGCAATGCCGCTGAAATTCAGCGGCATTTCGGCAGTAGCGCTTCTTGGCATTGCCGCTTCTCGGCGGCATTTCAGCAGCTGCTTGTCTGGCGGCCAGTAGGTCATGGCGCCCGCGGGCACCGCGTTGGGGACCCCTGTACTAGTGGGTGCAAAAAAAAAAAAAAAAAACCCTAGCCTCCTGTCCTTCACCAAGAAACTTTAGTTTCTAATGAGAGACTGAGGTTTTTGCACTTCCCTCTCATTCCCGCCCTCAAATATTTCTATCAATGGACTGAATAATTAATTTTAACTGTGGATTGTAACATCTTAACTTGCTTTAATTCAGGAAATGTTCTTCTGCTGTTACCATGAAACAGGCATCTATTTGTATAGTTGTTATGCATTAGATAGGAAATTTTGTGCTGCTGTAAGTTAATTGTATCTTTTTCTGTAAATGCAAAAAATTGTCTGTTTTCAGAAATAACTAACTTGGAACACATTAAACAAAACACACACATAAATACCTTGCATTGTGAGTTAGAAGTAAAAATTCCACTATCTTTCCATTTAAGGCTTTGTACTTATTTGTATGTTTGATCGTTGTGATACTCTTATTCCTGTTACATTTTCCTAGTAAAATGTATACATCTGGTGGTCTTGACTACTGAAGCCAATCTTTCTAACTTTTTGCTAAAATTATACTACCCTTCTTCGATGTGACACAGTATAGTTCGTAGAAGCTGTTACATTTGCGTGCATAGTTGAAGGTATTACTTTGGTGAAAAGGCTTTTGCCACAGACCAGGCACCAATTTACATTGGCCGTGATTCATCACATGTGCTAGTAATGTTTCCCACTGTTGGAAGGAAATAAATCACTGGGTATATGGCTGATTTTAAATATACTGCCATGTATATGAAATACAAACAATGAAATCTGAACTGGGCCTCCATCAAGTAATAACATTGCAGAATAATAAAGAAGATTAAAGGAAAATACAAATTCTAGACAAAGTAATTTCTTCCCATTCTCTTAATTTGGATGTGATTTTCATAGTATGGTGGACTACGTAAACAGAAAATGTCTTCACACTTAAGTGTATTAATGGTATTTCATCAATTACTTGGTAAACCACTTCTAATGGTAAGATTGTTCATGACTGGGCAACAAAAGTATACAGGTTTTTACATGGAGGACTACTTAATACAAGGGTCTTCTTTAGGAAAGAAGTGATGCTAAACCTGGTGAAACTTCTGCTTTAAATTTCTATGGTTGGCTGTGACAATAGCTGAAATACAGATATAAGAATGGACAATTTGGTTAACATGTTTCACGTTAAATCATGAGTGATGGAAAGTGACATTTTTCTATGTAAAGTCTGAGGAAAATGTGTGAGTACTTGAAGTTACAGACTGCCATTTCAAGGGGGTCAATTTCCATGAAAGCAATACATTTTCCAGGTTATATTTGTTTCAGAACTGCAGGTTCTAAAACACGTAACTTTCATGTCTTTTTATTTATGTTGATGCTAACTGGTAATTTTTCTTTACCGAACCTGACAACAGGAAGTTAAGTCCCTTTGTTAAAGTCCAGTCCTCTCTAGTCACATGTAGCAGAGGGTGGTCTGATATGTGTAGAAGCACAATAAATTATAGTAGTTACAATCTACAAGTACCACTGTGACATTACAAGCATATTGTGAATTGTTCAAGGCACTGCCAAAGGCTGCCTTTTGTGTGGTAAGAGCCAAGTGCTTGCATGCTGCATGCATCCCCAATGTGAATGGAAGAGCACCTGGTTGTTGTATGTATTTTCTCTAACTCCCATCAGGGTCTCACTGTGCGGGCCTGTTTAGCACCTCAGTACTCGGGGGTTCTTCGAGCGCACCTAACCTACAGGATTATGCTCGTACTCAACGTAAAAAGCTGACTTCTTCTGGCTGCATAGATGGTATGTGCACACTCTCTCAGATGCACACACAAATCCATGTTGAAGTTCTAAAGACGAACCCTAGGCTACTGATTCAGTGGAATCCTAGAATCCTTTGCCTTAGCATTAATTGTATGACTTTTTACTGCCTCTTTACTGCCCATAGCTTGGTTATATTAGTTTAATGACACAGTTAATCCTTGTTCCTGGCTTCTCTATTTGATGTACCTTGAATACAATATACATTGAAAAATTTTCAGCATGTACAGTTTAAGAACAATGAAGAGCTGAAAATGTAGTTGGAAGTGCTCATTGCTTAAGCCTCTGATTTTGATAATTACGTATTGACATTGAATTGAAACATATTACATTGCATGGAGTATTTACAAGGAGCCAAAAGGAAAAGACCAGTTTCATATTACTGAGTGAAAATTTTAGGATTCCTCTTTGGTGGGTGTGTGGGTGTGGATAGAGGAGTGTAGGTTTTAGGCTTCAGTAATCTTGGGTAGAACAGCTTTCACAGCAGGTTTCAGCATTTAAAGAAAATGTGCTAATTTACTTTTTTAACGCTGAGGTCGAGCAGTATTAATGCAATTTTTCCCCAAATTCACTCTTCTCAATGTTCAGCTCTAACCAGATATAACTTTGTATGCCAAAATCACCAGTTCATCCTGTTTTTCTTTCATACACTTCATTAAACACCTTGCAGTTATCAATAAAGCCACATTTTCTACTTTTAACCTCTTTTTGGCCTCTAGCCCTTTCCTCTGGTCCTTTCTGCATGCCACTTAATTCTAACCTTTTGTTCATCTTTTTTCTTCTTTCCTTTTTTGAAATGTGTCCCTCTTTTGGTAGCTGTTACGAATTTCAGGTACCTGTTTTTCTCTTTCTCAGACACCACACGTGGTTCTGCTGTTAAAAGATTTTCTATCTCATTTGCTCGACACCCAACCAATGGTATGTTTTGCTTTTATTTAAAAAAAAATACTCCCTTGCTTCATCCCTTAATTTCATTTTATTTCAAACACGGGGTGTACAGTTTCGTCCAATCATCTGTCCTTCCTGACTTCAACCAAGCATAGTTCCAAACATATTCATAATCACTAGATACATTGATATAGTCTTAAATACGTCCTTTATTATTCATTTATATAAATATGATTTCAAAATTCACTCATCAGAAAATCTTGTGAAAATGGAAATATTGCTTATAATCATGAATTCCTTGACAAATTGCATTCTTTCCAATGTCTCAGGTGATCAGACTGTGTATGGTATATGATAAAAACAAACTTTTCTGATCTTGAATGGCATATACTTCTCAATAACTTAACATTCCACTTCTTCCTCTTCCTGCTGATGAGCTCCACTGTTTCCCTGAGCCTTCTGAATCTAGATGAAATCACAGTAACTGACAACTGGCGTTTGCTACCATCTTCTTGAAGTTTCACTAGATTAAAAAGTAAAGTAAAATTTAGGGTCCATTTCAGTTAATCTGCAATTTTGATGACTGAACAGAAAAACTGCTACTTAACCTTGCCATACGTAATTATCAATATGTTCATCATGTATGCTAGTTACTTAAATACTTCACTAATAATCAGTTAGAGTTGCCTTCGTCTTGCGTTGACCTCTTGAACTCTATGGTGAAAGCTAACTCATCTCCAGTCTACCATATTTTAATGAAACCTATCTTAACATATGCAAGTTGAAAGTATGAAATATGTTACTCATAACTTTCTAGCTCACTACATAGGCCCTATAGCATGCCCTTTTCATAGAAGTTGGCTTCAATCTTCAGCATTTATCACATCTTAGTGTAGATTTTTTCCAGATTTCTTAATTACCATTTTAAAACTGTGCACCACCACTTACTGACACAATACAGTGGCAGGGTAATAAGGTCTTCCCATTGAAACTGAAGTGAAAATAGCCGTAAAGATCTGTGCTATTGCCTTCCAACAAACCTTTTACTTAGAAGATGGTTTAGATTAAAAAAAAAAACACATAGTTCTCACTTTGTTTTGCTTCTGAATAATTAAGTCATGAAGTAGTACTTGAAATATTGTATCCATTTGGAATTTTTAGTCAATATTTGTACTGCAGTGGCTTCCCGAAGAAAGTGTTTAGTATAAAACTGTTAGAATCACCACCAAACCTGCAGTTAATAAAAAGTTTTAAAAGGCTGACTTAAACATCCTCCTTGAAAATGAGAAAGGTGGGCCTTACTCTATATAAAATCAAGTCAGATAATCTAAACAAAAGAGCAAATGCTGTATTTAAAAACTCAGTGTTGGCAAAACATTTGAAAGTTGTAAAGTGAGACTAGATTCACGAAGTAGAATCTATGTTATGTAACAGTTTCAAAAAATTTGTTAGTGCTAAAGGGAACAGACAGCAACATACTTATTGTAACTGGATAATGCTTTATAAAAATCTCTATTTAAACACAATTACTTTATTGTGCACATTGTGTATTCTGATTCATTTAATATAAATGCTTTCCACATACCTTTTACAAGTTAATGCATGCCACATGTGCTCCTGTGAATCTTAAATGCATTCCCTGAGGTGTTTCAGGTTCCCAAGTGTTCTCTACCAACTTTTTAAACATATCGTTGTTTGTTTGTCTTCTGGACTGTCATTTGATTCTCCCTTTCGCTCTTTTATTTCCATAACTTTGTGATGTCCTTACAACCTCTAACCCATTTCACAGACACTCTCCATCCCCTTATTCTCCCCCGCCGCCCCCCTTCATCTTTAGTTCAAGGAATACATTGAAACAAGTCATCTTCTGACAGTGCTTTACCTTATTTTCTGGGCCTCATGCAGAACATCCACACCTCTTTAGGTGCTGGTCCATTTCCTCTGTGGAATTTCTAAGCTCCAGTGATATGTGTGTCTAGCTATTAAATGTAGGAGAGCAGGATGGCTTTTTAAATTGCTGTGTTAACCCTTTCGTGTCTTGCATTTTGTGTAGTCTGGGTAAAGGAAATTTCAAAAAGTAAACATAAACAGTTAATTTTTCTAAAATTTTCTTTTTAAATTCCTATGGATTTTCTATAACAGCTGTTACCATAGTAGTAGTAATAATAATCATCATCATCATCAATAGGCATTGAAACATAGGTGGGTTGTTGTTTTTGTTTTTTTTAGTAAAGCATGTGTCCTGACCTACCCTGACACTGTCCCACTAAATTGTTCGTTAGAATAAAATGTAAATATTTTGGAAAACATTTTCGTGCTGGTAACACTTTCATTAGGTTAAAATTAAATCTTGTTGAACTTACAGTAATGCAAAAAAAGGGTTTGCGCTTTGCATGCATGCATAGTATTTTTATATCTTATACTTATGCCAAACACATTTATTTTAGTGCTTATACTGCAGCTTAGTTGCTGTCATATTAAAGAAAGTATACATGAAGTTGTGTGGTGGTATTTGTTTTGCATATGACAACTAAGTTTCTAAAAACATGCAACATTATAACTGTTATAGTGTAAGTGAAGCTGACTTAAGTACCCATGAGCAGCTTGCATAGCAGGATTGGCTCTCACTTGAATCCAAGGCTGGGTCCAAATATGAATACAAAAGCTCATGAGTTGAAATTTTGTAGAATTATTTTTTATATAAATGCTTAGTAATGTTTTTTGAGGGAGTTCAGATATTGATACCTTTACCCAAAAAAAATGTACCTTGAACTGAAATTCTAGATATTCTTTAAGTATTGTCTTTTCATTGAAATAAACATCTTGGAAGAAATATACCAATTTATAATTTTTCAGTTCAATATTGTAAATTTAATGTTGCAGCTGTATATGAGAACGCTAATGTGGACAAGTGTCTCCTCTTTTGAAATGCTGTAGGATGCACGTTTCATTGAGTGCTATCAAGCTTACATCAATTCACAGAACTGCACTATTAATCATAGATATGTATTTTAAATGCTTTGTTTTATTTCATTAGGAATAAAAATGTGCATGGCTGGTTTATGAAATGTCAATATGTCTATAGTAATATTGGAAAATAAAGTTAAATATCACTTCAGTTTTGTCTTGGTATAGTTTACAGTTTTAAGTTGTGAAATTTCTAGTGATGTAAATTATTGTTTTAGTAAAGATAGGTATAAATGTGTGTTATAAAATTAAAATATAGTCTCAAGGTACAAAAATTCTGGTAGTGGTCTTGGTGGACCTTAAGGTGGAAACCTAAAGCAAGTCTTGTTCCTAGAATACCTGAGAGGATAGAGAGTGTATGCTACAAGGTGTTGCCTGTCAGGAATGCCAATGTTATTAGCTGTTCTCTGTAAGAGCAACTCAGTTAAAAATGTTCACAGCATGACCATGCTGCTACTCCATCTTGAATGAATTAGCTACCTATATATTATTATGACTGGTATGGGAACAAGTAGGGAAAATACTGATATTCCCTGCCTTTTATAATGATTGAATAAGTTTGTCCGGAACAGTAGTTAACTTAATGTACTGAGCAAAGACTAGAGCAAAGATATATTTTGTATCTGTGTACACTGATTTATGTGGACATGGGTTTTGTAGTATGTAGTACACTATCTTGAGCTTACTATATGATGGAATCTGACATACCTTGTTCTAACTCCATATTGCATAGCGTCTTATGTCATGACTTCGAGGATATTGTATGTTTGCATGTTTTGATATCAGACATGTACTTTGTTCATTTTTATGCAGTGTTTCCTGTCTGTACAACAGTTCCATTCTGGTCTGATTTCTAATGTCTGGAAATTCTCTCTCTCTCTCTTTATTTTTGTAGGTTTTGAACTATATTCCATGGTGCCTTCCATCTGCCCTCTAGAAACCCTGCACAACTCCCTGTCTTTAAAGCAGGTGGATGAATTTCTTGCCTCCATTGCTGCTACTTCAAGTGACAACCTACCGGAGATGTCTACTGCTTTATGTTGTAATTAATTTTTTTTACTGTAAACCATAAACACTATTGGTCATAGTTGATCCATAGGCCATTTATCAAAATGAACAGACCAAAAAGATTATCAGTGATTGGATGACTAACATAGCAAACATCAGTGTAAATGGGGTAGGATATGAGGCTAAAATAGGGAAAGAACAAATTAAGAATTACTTAGCCAGTTCATAGGTCTTCAAGTCAGCAGGTCCTGATGAAATATGTCCTAGAATACTTAAGGAACTGGCTGAAGAGATCTCTGAGCCATACACGATTCTCTTTGAGAATTCATGGAGGACAGGAGAGATCCCAGAGGACCCGAAAAGGGCAAACATAGTACTGGTCTATAAAAATGGGAATAAGGACAACCCAGGGAATTATGAACCAGTCAGCTTAATTTTGGTACCCAGAAAGATAATGGAGCAAATAATCAAACAATCACTTTGTAAGCACCTAGAAGAAAATAAGCTGATAAGTAACAGTCAACATGGATTTGTCAAGAACAAATCATGTCAAACCAACAGGGTAACAAAGCTTGTGGATGGGGGAGAGCAGTACATGTGTTATATCTCGACTTTAAGGCTTTTGTTACTGTCTCCCATGATCTTCTTATAAACAAACTAGTGAAATATAGCCTAGACAAGGGGTAGCCAATTATTTTTTTGTCAAGGTCCAAATTTCTTGGTCAAGGTATAGTCAACCTGACTCCAGAGAAAATAATAATAATAATAATAATAATAATATAAAAAGATAAATAAATAAAAAGATTTGGGGTCATTCAGAAGTGTCTGGTGGTCTGGATTTGGCCTGCGGTCCACCTATTGACTATCCCTGACCAAGACAAACCTACTACTGTAAGGGAGAGTGCACAACTGGTTGGAAAACCGTACTTAGAGTAGTTAAGTGGTTCACAGTCAAGCTGGAAAGGCATATTAAGTGGGTCCCGCTTAGAGATCTGTCCTGGATCTAGTTCTAGTCAATATCTTCATAAATGACTTGGATAATGGCATAGAGAGTATACTTACAAAGTTTGTGGACAATACCAACCTGGGAGGCATTGCAAGCAGTGTGGAGGACAATTCAAAGTGATCTTGACAAAATGGTCTGAAATAAATAGGGTGAAATTCTGTAAGGACAAATGCGAAGTACTACATTTAGGAAGGGCTAATCAACTGCACAAATACCAAATGGGAAATGACTGCCTAGGAAGGAGTTCTGTAGAAAAGGATCTGGGGTTTATAGAAGATCACAAACTAAATATGAGTCAACAATGTAATACTGTTGTAAAAAAAGTGAACATCATTCTGGGATGTATTAGCAGGAGTCTTAACTGGAGTAGTGTGTCCAGTTCTGGGCACCACACTCCTGGAAAGATGTGGTCAAATTGGAGAGAGTTCAGAGGAGAGCAACAAAAATGATTAAAGGTCTAGAAATCATGACCTTAAGAGGAAATATTGAAAAAAACTGGGTTTGTTTAGTCTGGAAAAGAGAAGACCGAGGGGGGACAAAACCAGGGGTGAAAGTAACTTAAAGGACTTACCGGTATGCCGGAGTCCTGAGCGGGGGTGTGGCCTCAACCAGAAGAGGCGTGGCCTCAACCGGACGAGGCAGGGCCTTTAAATCACCCCAGAGCTACCAGCTGACGAGGCGGCTGGGAGCCCCAGGGCTCAGGGGTGAATTAAAGGGCGCGGAGCTCCGGGCCCTTTAAATCACCGCCTGAGCCCGGCTGCCGGAGCTCCGGCGGGGATTTAAAGGGCCCGGGGCTCCCCGCAGCAGCCGGAGCACTGTGTCCTTTAAATCCCTGCCCGAGCCTGGCTGCCGGAGCTCCAGCAGCGCTTTAAATGGCCCGGGGCTCCCCGCAGCGGCTGGAGCCCTGGGCCCTTTAAATCACCGCCGCAGAAGCCGGTTCAGTCCGGCACAGCATACTGGCTCTTGCCAGTACGCCGGACCGGACCAGCTTACCTTCACCTCTGGACATAACAGTCTTCAAGTATGTAAAAGGTTGTTATAAAGAGGAGGGTGATACATTGTTCTTATTCACTGAGGACAGGACAAGAAGTAATGGGTCTAAATTGCAGCAAGGGAGGTTTAGGTTAGACATTAAGAAAATCTTCTTAACTGGAAGGGTAGTTAAGCACTGGAACAAATTACCTGGGGGGTGGGTGTTGTGGAATCTCGATCATTGGGGGCATTTTAAGAACAGGTTGACAAAGCTGTCAGGGATGGGCTAGATAATACTTAGTCCTGCCTCAGTGCAGGGGACTGGACTAGATGACCTGTTGAGGACCCTTCCAGTCCTACATTTCTATGATTCTATAATTTACCAAAAATGTTAATCAACTCTTAATGTGTTTGAAATACTTTTTCACTATGTGGTCATTGGTTTCTCTGGAATATGGCAAACTTGGAAATATTATCATACTTGAACCAATTAATCATTCTCTCATTTTAGTGAGATCACTCTTCCCCACCCACATTATTGTAACTCTGGAATGCAGGAGAAAATCAATTTTACTACTGTCAAATATGCAGTAGTTTGTGGTTTACACTATATTTCCATGTTGGTTGTAATTTGTTACAGGATATCTGTTAATCCCAATGTTAACTAAACCAAACTCAAATATGTTGTGCATCGTGTATGCTTTGTGGTGTGTATATTATGGCAAACAGATGTTAAACTACACAGTTAACCAGAAATACAGGAATAGAAAATATGATATGTTCAACCTGGCTGAGCTAATGTTGCTTCTGGAACCATAACATCTGTATTTCCTGTTTCTTTTTTATTATTGAATCTGAATGTTCCACATGCACAATATCTTTTCATTTAATTTTCTTTCTATAAAAGATTCCTTATGCTACATGTTAATGTTTAAATGGTCCTGAATGGAACTTCAAGTTTGCATCTCGTTGATGTGAATGTGCTGGGGATGATTGCCTTCCAAATTAGTGTCTGTTGCTGCTTCTCTTGAAACAGTTTTCTGCAATGCTAGACTTGCAACACGTGTGGTTTTCACTGTGATTTTTGTACTTTTTGCATAGGGTGAAAGGGGAAATGCAAACTTGTGAGGGGCATGTAAAGAAATTATACTTCTTGTGGGAAAAATTGTACTTGCTATTCTTTGATATAGTATAACAAACAAGATTAGAGATGCTTTCCTCTTTCTAGTGTTTTTACTTTGACAGCACTTTATGAATAGTCAGTTTCATTTTTTACCCAGTGTAGTCAATTCCGCATCTTGTTTTATGTGTCTTTTATACATGAACAGATGGAGAAACATTTTTTTGAAATAAAAAAATGGTTATAAAATGACAAAAATGTACAGGGAGGCTCACCAGCAGTTATACTATGTTTAGGGGGGGAAAGGAGATTTTTAAGTGGATAGTGTTACTTTAAAATGCTATCTTAATTTTCAGGATGCAATAGAAAAACGAGAAATGTAGACAGCCTAAAATAATTATAGTTTGCGATGTTGAGCGGAAACCTACAGGGCTTGCCACCTAGAGTTTGAGACCTCAAAGAATTAAATGGTTAACTGTTGGAAAAGAAGTGTGTCAGGTTGCCCTGTTTTTTAAGGGAGTGTTTGGCAGTTGGAAGGAGGAGGGAGTCTTAGTTAGCTGCTATGGGGAAGGGCTCCCCTGTTGGTGCGGAGTTGGCTTTTATTGGTAACAAGTTTTGGTACCTGGGAGGAAGGGTCAGTGCTCTTGTTACTGACAGGATGGAGCATGAATGCTTTTGGCAGTGGAAAGAAGTATTTTTTTCCCATCCTATCTCCCTTTGGGGGGAATTCATTTGTGTGTGGACTTTTTCTTCTTCTTTTTTTTTTTTTGTCCTCTTCCTATGATGTCTTCTAGCAGTTACCAAATATCTATTTGCTCCGTTACAGGCTTGTTAATTAGACATCTCGGACTAGGTAGAACAAACAAAATGCCAGTTCTAGCAGCATTCCATGCCCTGTCAAAAGTCAGGAGCACTTCTGGCAAAGCAACAATCACTATTCACTAACCTTATTATTCCTGGCAGTGTGAAGCTTTTGCGTTGCTTTCTTAAGATGGATCAGGCAGATTTTCCTCTCCTTCCCCACACTATGAAGCCATGATAAAGACCAAAAACCCAAAATCCATGGCCGGATTCCAGATTCCATAAGTCTGGAATTTGACGTTTTTGTCATTTTGGTAATGTGCAAATACTTGACAAACATTTTGTTCATGATGGTAAAAAAAGACCTTTTTTTTTTTTCCCCCCCTTCAGCTTCTTCAGCATCTTCAAGTTCACTGTCTGGAAGAAAAAGTTCTTTAAATACATACACCCCTGCAAAAATCCAACCAACACCACTTGCAGCCTTGCCTGAGAGGCTAGCAATAGAGAAACCAACCTTATGTAAGTAACTTCTGTCACAGAGGCAGAACAGCAAACTCTTTTTGCTTAAATATGCCCAATAGATATTCAAGATGCAAAGATTTATTACTTATTAAGATAGTCTGCCATCTACCTGTTGAATCATTTCTTCACGAATGTTATGAAATAGCTGCCTTATCCTTGTATTTGGAATCATTCAGATAGTCACAAAATAGATTCATTATAGCATTGCACAGCTACTTTAAAAATAACACTTCAGCAGTAATGGCTGAACTGAGGCTTCCATAGAATACAGATGTAGTGTACCCTGGTGGTTACAAAAAAAACTTTCAAATTGTATTCAGGTGACTTGGTGGCAGTCAATCTGCAGTTAGGACTAGACTTCCAGACTTAGACTCAAGGCAGTTAGACACAGTAAAAAAATAATAATCGAGCTACTGTGTGTTAAATAAATCAGCAGAGAGGAAAGGATCATTCCACCCATGCTGGTGAAGGTCTGAGTAGTGTCCCACTGCTCCTCGTAACCCCATAGGCTTTAGATTTTAGTTTTGATGAGCTAGACTTGGGAAGGCTTTATCAGTTGATACTGATCAAATTCAGTGTTTCTCCCTGTGTTCTTAAACAGCTGAAATTTAGATACGCTAATAGCCTTGGAATGACACATACAAACAGAAATAAATAAAACTACCTATTAAACAAATTTTGAATTCTGACTAATTCTTTGCAGCTGTTTATCAAATACATGGGGCACTTGTTACATTGTTATAGGATCATAGACTCAAAGGACTGGAAGGGATCTGGAGAAGTCATCTAGTCCAGTCCTTTGCACTCATTACAGGACTAAGTATTATCTAAACCATTCCTGACAGGTGTTTGTCTAACCTGCTCTTAAAACTCTCCAATGATGGAGATTCCACAACTTCCCTAGGCAATGTATTCCAGTGCTTAACCACCCTGACAGTTAGGAGGTTTTTCCTGATGTCCAACCTAAACCTCCCTTCTTACAATTTAAGCCCATTGCTTCTTGTCCTATCCAATGTTAATATGATCCAAATGACACTGAGAGCTCTTTTTCAACTGCTCCTTTCCTATGTTCTTGGGTTTCTTCAGAGTGAAGCCATTTTTCTAACAATAAATTTAACCTTGTACAGTAAGGTTCAGTTTCTAGTGACTGATCCAGTTTACAGCTAAATTCTGTAAATATATTGTGCAACAGATGAATCATAAAGAGAGTGACTGACTTTCACCTTAATCATTTGCCAATAGATCCATTCCAGTGAAGCCATTCTCCACAGGCCCAGTGTCTATTTAAGAAACAAAAATGATCCTAGGTTTTTTCCTAGCACAGACTGAAATCTTTGTAAAGTTCATCCACCTTTTAATTCTATCCAGTATTGACAGGTTCTGTCTCCAAAAGAACCATGTCTAAATACTGAGTCCTATAAACATAGCCTTCAAGTTCTAGATTTGCCTAGCAAGGCTCACTCTATGAGAGTCTGCCAACTTCTTACCCTATGTCTGTCCAGGAGATTTGAAAAACAGAATTATCTTCTCTACGTGCATTTACAAAATGCTGTTCTTTAGATTTGACCTACCTGTTACAAAATCTTCCATTTGAAGGGTCCTCAGACTTTTCGGCCCTCCCTATTTAATACTTTGGTGTTACATCATTTTGATGGCTGTTATATATATTTTCGGGAGGTAACTATCTTATCCCTTCAAGATGTCTTATGCTTGTTCTTCAGGATATGTCTTGTTCAATTTTTTGTTTCCCGTTGCAATGTAATCACCCCCCCCCCCCCGCACCCCCAGTCAACCATTTATCTTCTCCAGAGATTTAAGGGATATTGAAGTTTGTCTTCTGTCCTTTTTAATTGGCTATTTGGGGTCTATTGTTGCTTCCTGCTTGAAAGAAACTGACTGTTGGAGCACTGGAGCCAGTCTAACTATCACAGCAGGGATACCATATAACTCCCCTATTGGGTCCAGTGTTTTAGAGCCTTTGGCTGAGATTTCCCATAAAGCCTATGCACAGGTACATGAATCCAAGAATTTTTATTTATTTGACTATAACTAACCATATGAAAGACTTCAACACTACGTGTATACGAAAATCTGTTTAAAAACGCTGTCAAGAACAGTTTGTAAAAACTTTCCTTTATTTGTACTACAGCTGAGAAGCTTGAAAATATTTTTTCCTACCAACTTCCTGCCTCTTCATTAGAGAAAAATAATTGTTTGTTTTTCTGTGGCTTTCAAGCCGATTCAGATCAATATAATTTGTTAAAATGTGTTCCCTCTTCTGACTGTCTGACTTCTATAAGAGCAGATGTTAGAGGGTTCCACAAACAGTTGCTATTGGTGCGTTAATTTTTTCATCTGTGGCAGACTATTGAATTTCAAGAGTGAATTGCTCAACACAGTGTAACAATGTCAAAGTAGGTCTAACTTTAAGTCCAAACATCTCAAAAGTGACTTAATTAACTTGATGCATCTGAAGAAGTGGGTTTTTTACCCACGAAAGCTTATGCCCAAATAAATCTGTCAGTCTTTAAGGCGCCACCAGACTCCTCATTAAATAACTTGAGTTACTTAGGCCTGGTCTACACTAACCCCCCAATTCGAACTAAGGTACGCAACTTCAGCTACGTGAATAACGTAGCTGAAGTCGACATACCTTAGTTCGAACTTACCGCGGTTCAGACGCGGTCCACACGTGGCAGACAGGCTCCCCCGTCGACTCCGCGGTACTCCTCGCCGAGCTGGAGTACCGCAGTCGACGGCGAGCACTTCCAGGATCAATTTATCGCGTCCAGACCAGACGCGATAAATCGAACCCGGAAGTTCGATTGCCAGCCGTCGAACTACCGCGTAAGTATAGACATACCCTCAGTGATTATAATGGGTTACTTGAGTTCAGTTTACAGCAAGATTGATGTAAGTTTTAATATTGACCTTTCTTTTGCTGTACAATCTTACCAGTGTGGGGTTTTTTTGCTTCTCTGCAGCTACCAGTGGACCCTCCAATGGCATCTCTGATGTTACTCCATCTCCTAAAGAATCTAGCTTGATGTAAAATTTGGTGATGAAACCCTTACTGAGAAGAAATGAAGGACTTCAGACAAAATTGGAAGCATCTTCCTTCAAAAACAATCTTCAGTATGCATTTTTAATGGTAGAAAAGCAGACTAAATCTTGACTCAACTCTCCAAAGCCATTCATGTCTGTCTGTCTTGGTGCACTTACCTGTATATAAATTTAAATACTCTTAACTAGTGCACACTGTATATATTCAGCTGAAAGGTCTCGTCTCATTTTCTAAAATATTTAAGGCAAAGAGGTTTACTCAGTAGTGTAATGAATTGCACAACTTTAATGAAAAAGCTGCACATCAGTTTTTTCAGTGTCTGTTTACTATATATGTATACTAAGCAAAAAGAAAAACACCCCAACCCAACGGTATGTATTATAGTGGCTCTCAAAGCGCCACTGTAGTTGTCATTATAAACTCCTGTTTTCAGGGGGTTTATAATGTGGCTGTGAATTTTTTTCCTGGGCTGAAATTTGATGCGCATGATCTTGGCTAGGAGCATTTTTTTATTTGAATACATTTCCAAAGAAATCACTTGGCTCTTTGAGTTAAACAAGTGCTTCTTGCATTTGAATTTTTAATACCATATATGCTGCAGTAACTAGGCACAATGGGGTGAATTAAGGATGGTGTATTTTCACTTTGAATCTCCTTGTTTTTTGTGTGTTTACATCAGACCCCTAACATTTGAATATACTTTTTATTTTGTTGTTTAATATACATGGTTATATAAGGAATATGTCTGTATATCCTCCTACAGAAAAAAATTGTTTATATATTTTCTTATTCTAAGAAATTCTTTTGTTTACTGAAAAGATGCCTTTATTTGCTACATAGGTTTGTTTTTTAAAAAGTCACTTAAAAAAAGGCCACAATAAAAAACAAGGTTTTTAAGAAGCAATTACAGTTGGTCTGGTAGTAAATTACCCTAGAAACTCTAAATATCCCATCTGTAAGTGGTGCGTCCTACCACCCGTTCATATGAAAGAGAAACTGCAGTGTTACCAGAATGTTTAATGTTTCAAAGTTTATCTGAATACTTAGGCTTCAGCATTTTCTGTAATGTTCATACCATTGGCATTCTAAACGCAGCTGTTGTCAACAGCTCTCATTAAGACTGTTGAAGACTTTATTAGAGCTATGAGAAGCTTTAGCAACTCAGATTATGCTTTTAAGTGGTCAGATTTTGTAGAGCAGTCATCCAGGTTCAGCAGTTTTGTGCTTTCATCTGTGGCATTTAGAATTATAAAATGTATTCAAAACATCACTGTCCACTTTTGAAAGTTCAAGTGGCTGATTATTAATAATGACTTTATAAACTGCAGGTTAGACTTTTTTCCAGTTTAAATTACAAGAGATTTAGCATCAAAGAAATATTTAAGCATCAGAGCCTTGTTTTCCTTATCCAGCAATTCTCAGTGTAACTACAGTTACACTATGAACTTGCCACAGAGTCTGTACAAATCTTTAAACATGGCACATGTGAAATGGCTTCTAGAAAATAGTCCTACTAAGTGCTGACTAAATAATTAATACCAAAAACATAAAGGGTTCACAGTTGTATATTTCAAACATTTCATTTTCTATAATGTAACCATGTAGTATGGACAATGTTTGTCTTGCACACATTTGAATGTACACATCATGTTTCCTGTTTTTTAAAAACACTATTAAAATTAAGTGTGCATATCATTCCAGTCAACCAAAGCTCTGGTTTAAAAATTTTGATGCGCTCCTAAATAAAAACAAGGTCAATGGCTAATTTAATGTCTATTCTGCTTTTTCATTAATAGAGAGTATCTGACTTTCAGTATATTTACCAGCTTTTTTGCTCATCCCAGTGCAAAAAAGCTGAAATAAAACATGTTTAGAAATATGAATTTGTATAAGAATTGGAAGCAGTCATGTATATCATCATTAAAAGCAATCATCTGAAATGGGGATAGGAAAACACTTAGCCCCCCCCCCCCCCATCTGCATTTCATTGCATGTGCGTGCACTGCTGCACCCATGCAGAGCTCCATTGACTTCTGGGGGGTCCATATGGGCACAGCAGTCTGACCTCATGCAACAAACTGAAGGATCAGCACTCAAATATGAAATGGAAAAAATAATTAGAGCAAGATCTGGGCAAATCAAAAGTAGGGAAACAACTTCCAGAGAAACATAAATTCAGTACAATTTAAGGAGAATTAAAAAAAAAAACCCTATCCAAACACTCAAACAGCCTACTTTTGAAATTTTAAACTACTTAGAGTAGATAGCTTCTGCCTGGGATAGGCGACACTCAAATTTGCGTTTAAAGTAAATTCTAGAGTAGGTTACAGTACATTTGATGGCTAAATTTACTAAAATGTACATACTCCAGAAACATTCTATGCTGGCATGAGATGTGTTATGTGAAAAATTGAGGTGGATTGCTTTGTTGTTAAAGATAGAGATGAGCTTAAAATCCGGGTTTATAACAAAGTACTTTTAATCATTAACTATGCAGAGGCACTGGTCATTCCACAAGTAAAGAATTTTTCAAAATCAGTTTTATGTATCCCAGTCACACCCTGTCACTATCTTTGATCAGTGACTCGGGATTTTCCTCTCTACCATAAAGGAAGCAACACAATTTGATGTGGAGTTAGGACCTAAAGAATCAGCTTCACAATTCAAAAGCTTTGGAAATAACTTAAGAGTTGTAGGAAGTTATATAATTACTTTACCAGTTTTTAAAAACAAGATTTCATAATTTTAAGTATCTTCTGGTGCTTCCAAATTGTGATGCTAATTTAGTCCTTCTCAGTATCATGTGTAAGATGGCAGCTGCTTGTAATTTTATTATTTAAGACAAATACTATTCCTTGTCACTGTTTCTTGCCCCATCCTGGTGGAATAGAATAGACCAAGGAAGCCAAAAGCACAAAGATGTGTTTCAACCGTGATGAGAACTCTCAAGATCCACAGACGGGGAGCTCTGGCATGATTGCTCCCCGCCCATAGAGAGCACCCTCATTCAATCAATGGGATAATGGCAGCTGGACTGCTTTTTTGGGGCCTCCACATCCCTTCTACAGCCACCCGGAACATCTCCAGAGATGCGTGCAACAGTGGGTCAGTCCTTTCAGCCCTTGGGACTCAGCAGAATGGACCATCCTCACCAAGCAATGATTTCTCAGAGGTAAATCCAAAAATCCTTCTGAATTTAACAATGCAATCCACCTCTAAAGAGAGAAACTTCATTGTCCAATCCCAGTTAAGTGGGAGCAAAGAGGCAAATTCATAAATTACCAATGTAGATATGGTAGTTTTAAAGTCGAGTGAATAGGTACGTTCACACGAAGACGTAAAGCAGAAGGACACCTTGTGACGGGTTGGATCACAAAAACCCACTTGGGAGCTGCCACCCGATGTGCCAAGACTACCCCTGCTCCTGTTTTCCCTGCCAGCTCAGGACTCCAGCACCCTGTCTAGCTGAGCCAGACACTCCCGTCTGCTCCAACACAGACCCAGGGTCTGAATTACTTGCCCCAAAGCTGCAGGTTTACCTGAAAACAGTTCACAGAAGGATGCTGGTCTTTAGCACCCAGATGCCCAACTTCCAATGGGGTCTAAACCCAAATAAATCCGTTTTACCCTGTATAAAGCTTATTACAGGGTAAACTCATAAATTGTTCGTCCTCTATAACACTGATAGAGATATGCACAGTTGTTTGCTCATTAATACATACTCTGAGTTAATTACTAAGTAAAAAGTGATTTTATTAAATACAGAAAGTAGGATTTAAGTGGTTCCAAGTAGTAACAGACAGAACAAAGTAAGTCACCAAGCAAAATAAAATAAAATGCGCAAATCTATGTCTAATTAAACTGAATACAGATAATCTCACCCTCAGAGATGCTTCAGTAAGTTTTTTCTTAGACTGGACACCTTCCAGGCCTGGGCACAATTCTTTCCCCTGGTACAGCTCTTGTTTCAGCTCAGGTGATAGCTAGGGGATTCTTCATGATGGCTCCTCTCTCTCCTTGTTTTCTTCCACCCCTTTATATATCTTTTGCATAAGGCGGGAACCCTTTGTCCCTCTGGGTTTCCACCCCACCTCACTGGAAAAGCACCAGGTTAAAAATGGATTCCAGGTCAGGTGACATGATCACTTGCAAGGGTGAAAGTAACTTACAGGACTTACCGGTACTGCCGGAGTCCTGAGGGGGCGTGGCCTCACCGGAAGAGGCGTGGCCTCAACCATAAGAGGTGGGGCCTCTCAAGATTTAAAGGCCCTGGGGCACCGGCTGTGGCTGGGAGCCCCAGGGCCTTTAAATCAACCCAGGGCTCCCAGCAGCAAATTAAAGGGCCCTTTAAATCCCGGCCCCAGCCCAGCCGCCAGAGCTGCGGGTGGGATTTAAAGGGCTCTGGGCTCCCCGCAGCTGTGGGAGCTCCGACCCCTTAAATCCTGGCCCTAGCCCGGGCGGCAAGCTCCTTGGGCAATGGACGCTGGGTCTGGGCCCCAGTAAATATCCCTGCTCGGAGCTGCTCCGTGCATGGACCCTGCTCAGCACCAATTTGGGCCTCTGGCAGGCCTGGGACCCCTCCCTGGAAGGGGTGAGCATGGTGGCACCCCGCAGCGATGCAGCCTCTGGCCAGGGCCAGCAGCTCACGCTGCCTGCAGGGATGTGGGGACTCTGCAGGCTGCCCTTGGTGGGCACAGCTTGGGCAGCTCAGTCCTTGGGCAAGGCAGCCTGACCCCCATGCCAGGCCCGGCCCCGCTCACGCCGGCACAAGCAGGGCCAAGCCCTCGCGCTGGAAGCAGAAGGGCCCAGCCCAGAGCTCCCCTGGTTCCCCCTCAGGAATGGACAAGCTCTTGGGCTTTGGACCCTGCTCCTGTGTGGGCCCGGGGCTGCCCCGCTGCTGGGACTCTGGGGTCCTGCCCTGGCGCACCTCAAGCAGTGATTGCTCCAGTCCTGGGCCAGCCTCTGGCCCTGCCACCAGCCAGGCTGCCCCACGGCAGCTGCCTCCCTTGGGTGAATCAGACTCCCCCACGCTGGAGGGATCTGGGGAGGAAATGTGCCGGGGCAAAGAGGGGCTGCTCAGCCCTGATCGGGGGGCTCTGGCTGCCCCTGGACAGGGTGGAGGCAGGGTGTTCCAAGAGCCAGTTCCACCCCAAAGGGACCATTCAGTCACTGAGCCTGACCCCCACCTAATCCAAGGCAGAGCCCCTGGGAGTCCCGTGTCCAGCTCACAAGGACTGCTAGCGCTCGGCCAGCCCCTCGGGGTACAAGCCTCTGGCTGGGGGAGCCGGCCCGGGGGCAGAGCCGCTCTCTTACTGCGTTTTCCCTGAGCTCCCTGCTAGCTGCTGCTCCCTGGGGCGCTGATGGACCGGGACCACGCAGCCCTTCCCCGGACATGCTGCCCAGCCCAGTCCCGCTTGCCCAGTTCTCGGCTCCCCACAGAGCACTGTCCCAAGCCCTTGCCACGTTCTCACCCTCTCCTGGCCGCATGGGCCCCAGCCCGGCCGCCGGAGCTGCGGGCAGGATTTAAAGGGCTCTGGGCTCCCCGCAGCGGCAAGGAGCTCCAGGCCCTTTAAATCCCGGCCCCAGCCCGGGCGCCGAGCTGCGGGTGGGATTTAAAGGGCCCTGGGCTCCCCGCAGCGGCAGGGAGCTCCAGGCCCTTTAAATCCCGGCCCCAGCCCGGCCGCCGGAGCTGCGGGGGAGATTTAAAGGGCTCTGGGCTCCCCGCAGCCGCGGGAGTTCCGAGCCCTTTAAATCCCCGCCGCGGAAGCTGGTGCGGTCCAGCACGGCCTACTGGCTCTTGGCGGTACGCCGTACCGGCTTACTTTCACCTCTGATCACATGTCATTGCAAGACTTCATTACCCACTTGCCAGCACACACATATACAGGAAGACTCATAGGTAAACACAACCATCTGCAGACAATGGTCCTGGTTAATGGGAGTCATCAAGATTCCAAACCACCATTAATGGCCCACACTTTGCATAATTACAATAGGCCCTCAGAGTTATAGTTCATATTGGGGGGAGGGATAGCTCAGTGGTTTGAGCATTGGCCTGCTAAACCCAGGGTTGTGAGTTCAATCCTTGAGGGGGCCACTTAGGGATCTAGGGCAAAATCAGTACTTGGTCGTGCTAGTGAAGGCAGGGGGCTGCACTCAATGACCTTTCAAGGTCCCTTCCAGTTCTAGGAGATAGGATAGGATATCTCCATTAATTTTTTAATTTCTAGTTTCAGATACAAGAGTGGTACATTTATACAAATAGGATGATCACACTCAGTAGATTATAAGCTTTGTAATGATACCTTACAAGAGACCTTTTGCATGAAGCATATTCCAGTTACATTATATTCACTTATTATCATGTTTTTATAAAACCATATAGACTGCATAACGTCACACACCCATGATAGAGCTCAGTGGGACTTCGTGAGAAGTGGGAGAGGGGTGGATGATAGGGACCCACCTAAAGATACTTAACTGCCATAGGGAAAGCAGGATAAAAAATATGTTTCTTCCAAGGACTCCAAACTTTTATTCTCCCATCCCCCACCCAATTCTCTGCTGGTAAACGAATAGGGTAAGCAACACTACTCCAAGTCTCCCCTATATGACAAGGAACAAAAGTGCTTAGCCCTCTTGGAACAGATGTCCAATTCATCCGTGACCCTACAATTTTGGATTGTAAACTATCAGGCAGTCATGGCTAAATATAATTTCACAAACTATAATACATTTACAACCTTTATTGATCA